TGTATAAACTAGGATGATAATTAACAATTAATTTATTTCTTACAGGTTTTGGGGATATACGGTAACTCAAATGATTTAGTATTTTAGATAATATTATTCACGGGGATATTAACGCTCAGAAATTTGCTTCCTAAACATTTTTTTGTGTGGTTTTTATTTTCAAAATAATGGAATATTGAATGATTAAGTATTTTAGATAATATTTTTTCACGGGGATGCTTTAAAAAGCTCAAAATGAATATTACTCGAAACTAAACGATATAATAGTTGCACACGCGGCTATATCATTTACTTGTGATATTTCAAGAATATAATAAGTTACGTGTTTCGGGCTGAAAAGGGAGTTCAAATAGATAATGAAAATACATAAAGACAAAAAAACAATGACATGAGTAACGGAGCGTTCTAATCACCAATTTTTGAGGAGAAAAAAGAGTAAGGTTGGTATGCATATTTTTAAAAATAAACGACCGTGGAAGAAATATATACATTTTGTAATAAAAAACATGAAAAGGTATTATTCGTGCTGGTTGTCTGTCTTTTCACCATTACATGTGTACTGGAGCGTTCTAATCATCATTTTTGAGATAAAGGTGAGTAAGATTGGTATGCATAATTTAAAAAAACGACCGTAGGGGGGAATATATACATTTTATAATAAAACAACATGAAAAGATATTATTCGTGTTGATGTTAAAGTCTGTGATGGGGTGTTGGGTGTTTGTGGGTGTGTGCGCATGTGAGGGGCGGGACCGGGGGGGGGGGGGGCAAATTTAAATGACATCTACTAGTATTCAAAGGTTCCACAATTTGAAAATTTGTTTTGTCTAAAAATATTTTGGCAAGAAGTATAAAATATTCCCCAAAATAAAAAAAAATAAAGTATGAATTCTTTCTTTAAAACAATAAATGTCCAAATAAATAAATGATTTCGACAATTGCAAACGAGAATTTCTAAATTCGCCATTTCGTAAAACAAGGTTAGTTTATGGGGCCACCGTCTCATTTTAATCGAAGTGAACCCTGATGCAATTTACGATAGGTTATAAGATGTAGCTCTCACTAATCCAGTGATTGTTCTAAGGACATCAAGATTTACGTTTTCAAGGTACAGGACCTTGGTTTTTGTAGTACACTCATTTCGGAGAACGTCCACGTAGTCGAATAATAGGCGACATTAAAGCCCAGTATATTGATTCTAGATATTTTAAACTTCTGACACAAATCAGTCCTTTTATAACGGAATAATTAGTATGAACAGCCCCATTACGATTACTAATTCTTAAGTTCTTTGCTATCAGTTAACCCAGCTCCAGCACAGCAAAGAGTGTTAAGAGTGCGGTTTAATTTTCTTGAGAAGGTAATAGTCCTTGTTTTGTGTGGATTAAAGTTGATTTTTCAACTTTTTGATTTTTTTTTTTGGCGGGGGGGGGGGGGGGGGGTAATGTAATTGCAGTATGTAAAGATGCGTTCAAGAGATTTCAATATTCGAAGAACAAAAACTACCCAGTGAAGATTCTTTTATTTTGATTTTGAATGAAAAGCCGTTATACTCTTCAAAAAAGTAGGGGATATTGCAATGAAAATACCTATGCAGTTGTGATATGATAAATAGTCATGGACATGCTCTAAGAGTATGTTCACAGATGAAGAACTTATCACCCCAACAGAACCACGGGGGGAGGGGTTCATTGTCAAATTTGACACTTCAAGGATGGGTTGATGAAAACTCTCGCCTGCTGGCTTATCCTATCCATGTTTGCTTTCCTATCGATTCTTGCATAAGATTTCCTGTTTATGGTATCTTTACTTTAGTGTACTACGTTTAATTTGATCGGAAGACGTGTTCGTCGGCGTCAACGTCAACCAACAACACGGCAAGAATTGGCCGTGGCACTGCAAGATGAGTGGGTCAGATTTCCCCAAATCGTGATTGGACGGTTCATTAGGAGCATGCCACGACGAATTGCTGAATGTCTGAGGATTGGTGGAGCAATTACTCGTTATTAAGACAAAAATCAAAAATGTAAGGTTTCTCTAATTGGCAACTGCGACGATTAGTGTTGGCTGCGCGAGTAACGTGAAAGGTAGCACGCTGTGATTGTCTAAATCTCCCAGCGTTAGTGAGCGTTTGGCGCGTACCTTTATCAAGTCGATAAAGATTCTAAGATAAAAACCCACGGAAAAAGACTTGGGAATGTAAAATTCGAGAATTTATTGGGCTTCGATATTTATGATAAATAATCAGTGATTAAAGACAACATCGTCTTGTATGTGCAATGCATTCTCGGTAATCTAGGGTTACCGCTTATTTTATTGCTCAAATTGAATATGCGGCAGTTTTCCGTTTCATCTCTCTATTTCACCATTTATTTATTGATAATGGTTTAGTATATTTAGATTTAACTTGTGTTGAGTAAATGGTCTTTGCTTTTAATCTGATTCCGTCTTTTTATACATAAAAATTGAGATATATGTATATGTTAAATTTAACGTTAAATTTTGGTTGATATTGCCAGAAAACATTTATAATATACAGATAATACTATTATCTGTGTAAATTCATGGTTGATTGCATCCATTGAGAAGTGTATGTTCACTTTGCCGTTACAACCATTCACAAGGGGGTCAGTCACGCGTGCCATATCGTCTGCTACGCGGTCCTTTATCAAGGAGCCTCTATGTGGTTAAGTCGCCGGTTCGCTAGCCTGCAGGTCGCACGTTTAATCCCTGCATTGGCCGAATAACTTCGTCGCGATTGTCTGGCCTCGCCCTCGTCCGGCTACGACGAAAAACTGAGGCCCGTGTATATATTGGCGTACAAACCCGCCTTTCCGAAACCTATCACATCCAGGGGGGGGGGGGGGGTTCCTCGCAAGTAAAAAAATCTCAGGTGTGTGTGTGTGTGGGGGGGGGGGGGCTGGTAACTGAGTGGAAGGGGGAGGGGGGTAACCAACCCCGGATAAACAATCGCAATCCAATCAATGGTCGATCTTAACATTAGCCCTTAACGCTAGACCACGCACGACCTGACCTCAGCACGAACCCCGACGCGGCTGTCTATAAAGGGGCAACCCCACGCCCCCCCTCACCCCCCCCCCCCAATAATCAATGCGTGACCTCCAGCTAACCTCGTAACAGAAGTCAAACGAGGTCAAAGGATAAACAAGAGTTCATTATAACAATACCTATTCATCTATATTCATATCCCCATTGTTCGGATAACAATACCCTATTCAATCTATTGAATAGAACAAAGGCGTCAACTCTCCTTGGTAAAAATATGGCCAGAAGGCCACAGATACTACTTATATTGAACATTTCATCAAAGCTACTTTATTTTGAGCGAATTTATCACTGTTTGTAGTTTTGACAAGATGTGTGCATTGATCGTAACCACCGTACTGTTCTTTCGAGTCTTAGCCTCGCTTCTCCATTTTTTAATTAAACCATTAAATGGCCGAACCGTACTAATCTACTTAAAATCGTACCCATCCGATAATGATCTTGTCATGTTAATAAATGTCTAATTAATAATTTATATAACATTTAAGGCCCAAAGAAAGAACCGCAATAGGCAAATTTAACTGTTACATACTGTCTGTTTAATTAAAGATACATTATGGGAGATAAGATAACGAGATGGCAGTTCTCACTATAATAGTTAAAAACTAGATAGTGTAAAGGTAATTTGCTGAAAATTTCAGTCAAATTGATTCACTATGAGCCGAGAAAGAAGCGGGTGAAATTTTTGCATAGTCTCGGTCATCATTACTAAAATCATTAATATAAACAGCATAGTCTCGATTATCCACTTTTTTGATTTAATTATCAATGGCCGTTAGCGGCATATAGGAATCTAATCCAGCCAACATCGAAGGCTAGCCTTGACATCGAGAGTTTATTATGGTCTGGATAAGTTAATTAATGTCTAATTGATAATTTAGATAACATTTCAGGCCTAAAGAAAGACGTGTAATAAGCAGATTTTGCTCTTGCATAATGCATGTTTAAACTTGAGCATCCAAAGATATTTATAATAACGGAGCGTAATCCATATTTAGTAATTACTATGATTAAAGGCTGTTTAATAACAACGACAAATTATTTGAACTGGAATAACCTTTTTAAAAGTGTCTAAACAGTAAAGAAAATCCATTAGTCATTCGCCATAAATGATAGAATATTACAATTAAAGAACAATATTGGTGTCAGTCATTATCACATATGTGATAGCACTAATTAAACACGTTCCAAATATAATACAGTAATACAGGTTTCCTGAATCGGAAGTTATATAGAGGTATGACTCGTGTTTTCAAACCTGTATTACTCAGCTATCGTAGCAATGATCTCTGTGTTAAAATTATATTTGGAATGTGTTTAACCAGCTCTATCACATATGTGATAATGACTGGCACCAATATCGTCCTTTAATGTGGCGGATTTTATATTGACAGTGTCAAATAATCGTTAAATCTAAAGTAGCATTAAATCTCTTGGGTTCTTTAGCACAGAAAACAATGTTTGATGTGAAATGATTTGACTATACGGTTACATGGGAAATTTTCAAATTAGATTGTAGGCAAAACATGACACACATCTGCATAGCTATCACTGAAAATAATATGTAAACTATCAATTTGCGAGTCGTACAAATTTGTATATTGGTTTTTAATGAGTTTAATCAGGGGAAGAAATTTGGCCGATTCACCGGAAACATTTCAATTTATCACCTTGCAGACGCCATATTGAAAGATCTGGTGGTAGCTGATATTGTCACCTATCTGTTGTGGAACGGTTAAACCCCATTTGATTTCATTTCTATCACGGAACGAACAGTAGGACGTTAAAACCCATTTCATTTCATTACAATCACGGAACATCCCCTGTAAGAAAACAACACGACTGAAATATATGAGAATTTAGGTGTTTGGAAATAACGTGCATACGCTGCCTATTACACCCTTTAATAATTAATTTGATGTATTTTTTTCTAGGAACACCATCAGTCATATCAAGATCATATGGTCGACCATCTTATAAACAATATCATCCATGGCAGCTGCCCGTGTTTAACCAACATAGAGGTAGGTGTACATTATTCACTTTATTTAAAGATCTATCAAAATACATGTATATATCTATTATCTGTTATACTATATCTTTATATACATGTTCATATTGTATGCTGTCCTTAATGGATGTCTTGATACAATAAAATCTTATCTTATCTTATCTTATCTTAAGGCCTGTCATTGAGTCAACTGGCGTGGTTTCGAATCCCCGGTTGTACGTGGCAAGGAGTAGGGTCGCCTGTCCAATCTCGTGGGTTTTCTCCGGGTCTTCCGGTTTCCCCCCACTGCTAAAGACCCCTACGTGCAAGCGAATTATTGAAATAAAAAAATTAAACCATATGTTAGTCCCGAAATGACCTAGTTTGTGTCGAGTGGACGTTAAACCCCATTTCCCTCTTTCCTTATTTAAAGATCAACGTTATGAGGAGCGAGTAAGATGTTGGCTTGCTAACCTGGAGGTCCCGTGTTCGACATCCGTGTTGGCTGAGAAAGTTCCTCGAGATTTCCCAGCACATTTCCCCTTGTCAGTGGTGGAGGATGGTGGGCCTGACAAGGAAACATGTCTAGTCCTTCGGATGTGACGAAAAACCGACTTCCCATGTACACATTGGTGTGCGGGTAAAAGATCCCTTGGCAATTGGAATTCGATGTAAGAGTAGGCCATAGCGCCGTGTACAGATTGCCGTGCACGTTAAAGATCCCTTGGCAGTTGGAATTCGATATAAGAGTAGGCCATAGCGCCGCTGCCCGGGCAAAATATGCCTTATAGCACATTGTATGGCGCAAGCCCGTCTTCATTAGCCCAGTCGAAGCTGAAAAGTAGGACGTTAAACCCCATTTCATTTCATTGATTAGCCCGTACATGTAATGTATCTATATGGTTCCCTGTTTTGATATGTAACCCATTTTATAACAGCCGAGAATAATAAATTTATTATGTTGTGTCACTATTTTAAGAGTTATCTATTTGATACATTTCAGGTTATGGTTTTTGAGGAAGATAAAATCTGCTGAAACATAAATATTTCTTACAAAGGAAACTTTTTTTTAAAGTTCTGGTTCATCTGTGGTTTATTTTTCATTTTTCAAAGGATGCAATTATATATACACATCAATATATTTATTCTTATATCATATTTTGATCTTTGGACCAGGAACTCGGGCCCAAGCGCTACCCATCTTATTCTTCTTGTTGCTGGGAGCGACAATCTTCGAAAAAGGCTTAAGGCTCCGCCAATTCAAATACGATCAATTTGGCATGCGTTTTCCTCGAACAACTGCATTTGGTTTTTGATATGACGTCACAATTCCAAGATGGCTGTGCTTCCTGGTCCATAGTGCATTCGTACTTGTTTATATATATGTATGTATCCACCAAAACATTGTTCTACGTTGAAACCCCCAGATCGTCTACTGTCGTATCGTTATGTTATTTAACAGCTATCTATCACGTGGTCGTTTAACGTCTGCTTCCACAAAGGTCACATCGGAGACAAGTTCTAGTTCTAGTAGAAGCCGAAACTTGCTGCAGTGTATTAGAAGATTCATTTGTGGCCTATGGCCATGGAATGATTTAGTACGAATATATTTCCTATTTAATAGCCTACTTCATTTCGCTTTATTTGCTCATTTAGCCTTGTTATTGACTCAGTCGTCCAGGAAGGCACACATTGACTAAAATAATACCACTGGTTTCAATTGTCGTAATCAAGTTGATTGAAAACCACAACTGACGAATAGTAAATGTTTATCAATTAGTGCATTATGGTGAAAAAGTTGCCTATCGACAGAAGCCGAGTCTGTGACAATCTAGCCGAATTTCGTCGAATTTGTTACAGTGTTCGTCGACAGACGTAAATCAGTCGGACATGGAAAAAGGAAAACGTTATAGTATCAATAAAGAATGACAAACTGCCTTTTTTTAGGGGCTGTGTGAAAATGTTTGAAATATACTATCGAAACGAACAGATGATTTCTTATTTCTGCATTTTCATGATTCTATTGTCTGTAAGGATAACACAGCGCGTTATATATATCCGAAATTTTAAGGCTATATGGCGCTGACTCATTCATCAGAATGTCCCGGATTCGATACCGGTCGTGACCGAGAAAGTTCCCCAGGGATTTCCCTGTTTGGTTTCCCCGTGTCAATGGCGCAGGGCGATGGGCCTGTCGAGGTAACATGTCTAGTCGTTCGTATGTATCGTGTATACCATTGGAATACCATTACAAAAGTAGGAGCTAGCTCCGCTATCAGAGCACATTTTCACCCATAGCATGATGTATGATGTTAAACCCCACACATGACAAACAATTGTAAAAGGGGCCCATTTCTTTTCCATAATATTCGAAATTAAAAACACGAATTAGAATTCAATATTATTTTATCCATTTCAATCAATATTGATGTTGTTATTTTGCCGTGAAAATATGGGATCCTAATATCCAATATCAATGAACATTTTAAAACCAGTACACGAGTCGTGGGTTCTATGGTTTCTGGCGCCATTTGTAATGAACAAAGACAAACATATTCTACAAGACAAAGCAGAAGTAATTAGTATTTCACCAAATATAATTGAATAGAAATTGCAATAAATAATATAAAAATGGGAAGTAATTAGTATTTCACCAAATATAATTGATTAGAAATTGCAATAAATAATATAAAAATTGAATATAAATCACTTTGTACATTCATATTACATTAAAGGGGCATTAGGTAAGATTAGATAGTGAGATGACAGTTCTCGCTATAATAATTAAAAAAACATATAATGAAAACAGAATATGCTGAAAATTTCAGTCAAAGTGCTTCAATTAACTATTTAATTATTAGGTTAGCTTCGATCGTCATTACTACCCTTGCAACGATAATATACAAAGTCTCGATTATCCAATTTTACGTTAAATAACCCATCACTAAACGTATTGAAATCTACTAAATATCGCAGGCTTACGATGGCATCGAGGGTTTATTATGGTCTTGATAAGTTAATTAATGTCTAATTAATAATTTAGATAACATTTAAGGCCTAAAAAAAGACCTGCAATAGGCAGATTTAGTCTTGCATAACGCATGTTTCATATGTGCTTTTAGACCCAGAGCCATACAAAGTGATCATTTTCAGTTTATGCAAATAAAGTAACATCTCTAATAATACCCTTTTATCTATTTTCTATTATCAACTGATTTATTAATGTAATTTATTTAATGTGAATATTAAGCTTCTTTTGTCCAACAGATATTTTCTGAAATAAATTGTTCTGTACTTTTTGTTTTGTGATCAAACCACACCGATGAATGGAGCATTAGTATGAATTAGCGCGAGTTGTAAATACACAATTTTTCCCTTGTTTTTTTTTCTTCCCTTTTCCTGCTTTTTTTGGGGGTTGACTTTTTGGTCTAGAATTTGAGAAAAGGGACCAAATGTGCTATTTCATAGCAGTTTTGTGTAATACTGATGATATTATAGCGGACGGATAGGGGGTGTAAAGTGTCTATGTATAGAGCAATCATTACGTCGGAAGTGACATTTTGACCCAAGTCATCATCAAATCCCCTTCTTTTTCTTCCAATTGTAGAGTCGGGTTCTTGAGAGAACGTACTTTTCTCCTAGCAAAAAATCTGTCAACACCCTTCAAAATTATGGTGTGGTGAGTGCCAAATGCGGCCCCCTGTGTGCCTATAAAGATCGGAACCAACGGTATGTTCAGCAAAAAACTACAACCTGTGATGTTACAGCCATTCAACATTGAAGTCAATTGGCAAATAATTGCTAGTACGAGCAGCAATCTTTCAGATTTTAAATTAGGAACAAGACCCTGCGGGGTGGGATGGGGGCGAAACACGCAATAATTGTATTATAAGGGGCTGAGATGGGGGTCTTCCAATGGCGTCGATTAATTCTGAGCTGTGATTCGATTTTTAGCATAGGCCTACCTTTACAAAAGTTGAACGTTATCATAAAAGCACTGAAGACAGCATTGTACAAAAATCACATTTTTAAATTTATGTATAAAAGAAACATTCTAAACAAAACACAAACGAAACATTCTAAACAAATCACAAACGAAACATTCTAAATAATAATAATAAAAAAAAACATTACGGTAGTCCATATTTATCAACTGTCATCATATAATCAAATGATTTTTAAAAATTCCAACATATTGACAGTGGTCGACAAATGGTGAAGCGTGACGATGATGTGTGACGATAATGTGTGACATTTTGTTTGATTCAATGCGACACAAACTAGGCCATTTCGGGACTAATGTATGGTTCAGTTTTATTTCAATAAACCGCTTGTGCGTAGCGATCCTTAGCTGTAGGAAACAGGAAGACCTAAAGAAAACACAAGAGCTTGGACACTGTTCTCCTTGTCACGTACAAGCGGGGAATCTAAACCACTACACCCAGGGCCCAGAGCAACGAGCCCCCCCCCCCTTAGTTACGGGCCTGACTACACTTGACTCAATGACAGACCTTATGATCTAATGCATATGCGTTAAACTATTCGACCACATACCCCTCCCCTCACCCCCTCTATTTATAAAGATAGTGAATTATGTCGCCATCTTCCACACAATGTTCTTTCAATGAATAAGTTTTATTTTCCTTATATACTGATATAGTTCCAACACCCCCCCCCTGCAAAAACGTCTTACTTTTCCGTGCCCATGTGACACTATGCAGGCTACGCTTGCAGGATTCCTTCATCTTTCTTAGACTTGACTCACGGTTCCTGCTACCAGTTATTTCTGGAAGAGGGCTACTGTTGTGTCACGGTTAGTTAAAAATGATATCCTATTACGTTAACGATCAGACATCAGGTCAGAGGTCTCCGCACCATTCGTACAGTACAAATTAGCCCAATTTCATAAAATTAGGGTTGACGTAACGGCGTGCTCTAATGCGGCGCTTGCCCAAATATGGCCAAGGATCCGCCCTGATAGTTGACACCCCTCACCTTTTCATACAAATTAGACTAGCGCGTTTTCCCGGGAGACGGTTGGGCGAAATAGCCAGGGTACACATCATAGGTTTTAATCGTGGTTAACGTTTAAATACCTAAAGAACAATAGCTGGGTCGATGTTGTAGAATATATTATTGTAACCTATAAAGATATCTCCAGAGAACAGAAAAGAGTTTGAAGTCTTATTTATCACAACGTCAAGTCCTACTTAGACACACGACAGTGTGACACAGAAGATTTGGAGAGAGAGAAATGGGGTTTAACGTCCACTCGACACAAACTAGGTCATTTCGGGACTAACATATGGTTTAATCTTATTTCAAACATTCGCTTGCGCATAGGGGTCTTTAGCAGTGGGAGGAAACCGGAGGACCCGGAGAAAGCCCACGAGATTGGACAGGCGACCCTACTTCTTGTCACGTACAACCGGAGATTCGAGACCACGCCAGTCGACTCAATGACAGACTTTATGATACAGCGCGCACACGCTAACCATTCAGCCATCCCCCCCCCCCCAGAAGATTTGGCCGTCCGGACACAGGGTACGTGTCACACCCAGGCAGCAGCGCTTTACTGCCTTCTCGCATTTTGAAATCCAACTGTCAAGGGTTCTTTACGTGCACGCTAATGTGTACAGTGGACCTCGGTTTTTGTCCCATCCGAATGGGGAAACGAACCCGGAAAATCCAGAGAAACTTTCTCGGCGAACGCCGGGATCGAGCCTAAGAACTTCTGGTGAACGAGCCACCATTAGGGCTGATAGACAACAGTATCTATAAAGTTCTGACATGCTACAACAAAAAGGGGCATAACTCTAGAGGGGATTATATAAGATTGCGCAACAAATGAAATTGCTCGAAAATCATTAAAAGCCAATATGATCTTCCTTTCAATAAGGTGCTAACAAGATTTCATAATAACCATGAACAACTCTGGAAATTCTTGTTAAAAATAGTTGAACATCACTATAGTTCTTTCTTTCAATAGAAAAAACAAGTTTAGAAATATATGGATTACTGCAGTCAGACAGACAAAATAGGGTGCCGACAAAATACAACAAATTTAAAGTTGTTTCCAGACACCCATTGAAATTCAGGTCTGTACAACTATTACTTCCTAAAGGACGGAAAAGTAAGAGTTATTTAAACGTCTTTTTAAAGCTGACGCAATGAAAGTACACGGACACTTGCAAGGAACAGGTGGGGCGATAAAACCGAGGTCTAGTGTAAACATTGGCTTGAACGTAAAAGAACCCTTGACGATTGTGATTCAGTTGCGTCCGGACACAATTTCACTCATGACACACCGCATGGCATGATTATACCCCTTTTCATTATCTCGGTTGGAACAGAAAAGTAGTACCGTTAAATCCCATTCATTTCATTCATTCTTTACATTACCTGTACAGAATATGACGAGCTTTTAACGTGATAACTTTTGCGTTCATGTTTACATTGTTGTCCTGCAATTCATCCAATTTTTTACCAGACTCTCTTGTGCTTTTCCACAACTTTAACGAATAGTTTTCTGCTTTTAACGATCTTATTACTTCTGACGTCTGCGTTTCTTCTAAGCTTCGTCTACGTACGGGTGCTTTCTCGAATTCCTTAACTTTGGTTTTAAGGTTGTCTGTGGTTGCACTCCTTTCTTTTCCAGTTTTCTCCTTGTTCAATTTGAGTTTCCTAAATGGTGTTAGTAAGCTCCCCGGTTTCTTAATTTTATCACGCTCCTCATCGGACTTTCTTCTGTTGATCTCGGCATTAAGTGTGTCCTTCACATCTTGTAGTTCTTCTTTATGTTGATTTATAGAACGTTCCATCCATTTTATTTTTTCGTGAACATAATTATGGGGTGGATTATTTGCATTTAAAGTTGGACCCTGTCAAAAGAAAGTTCACACACAACGGTGTTTAAATATATATCTAATTATAATCTACCTAGTGACAAAACGGCCATGCTTATTTTTGAATCCCAAAACTGACCATAAGACTCAGCTACAAGGAACGCCTGAATGTACAGCGTTTAAGTAATGTAGGCCTACATGTACTTAATATCTTAATACGTGTAATTTTAAAGGAGCTAAATCGCTAATATTTTGGGCCTAGAAATTGGCACAAATGGGTCGCAACACATATAATAATGTAATATGAATTTATATAAACTTTTTTTTTACATTCAATCGTTTCCGTTTTACTGTGAATTGTCATCAGTTATGTTCGGCGAAATACTTCAGAAGTCTCAACCGAAAGACAGTTTCTAGCGTCTGGTTATTTCAGTCAACACCGATAGTATATATTGCGCATGCTCTCCAAATAAGAATATGGCATCACCGTTTGACATGACTTGTGGAATATGTCTAGCCTCATTCTTTGAGCACCTTGCTACAAATGGTGCTGAAACGCATTATGGTACACGATTCGTGTACCAATGGTAAAATGTTTATTTTGTATTAAATATTGGATATCAGAAGCCGACCTTTTCCAGGTAAGACCACAACACCAATGCTGATTTAAATTGCCAAAAAAATCGTGTTTTCAATGTCGAAGATTTTGGAAGATATTGAGGTACGGACTTAGCTACTTTAAATTAGATATACCTCCAGCTCTTCGTGAATATCTGGGTATGGACTCTTTTTTACGTCGCTAATATAACTTTCCATCAATTTTGCACCAAAACTGACCCCAAAAACCAAGCCGTGAGGAACTCCCCCTTGTAATGTACATCGTTTAAATATAACATGACTGACAACTTAAAACATTTAAGTTTGTCATACCTCTAATTTATCAGCCACTGAGCTGTATCCACTTTCAATGAGACTTTGTTTAAAGTTTCGGAAGGCCGAGCTTCCAGCCCTTCTAACAATGTCTAAAACCTTCACAACACTCTGTCTTCTACCCCTTGATTCTTCCTCAGTCATCACTTCGTTCATTTCATCCACCGATAGGATGCCACACTGATGGAGATACGGGCATAGGTGCTTAGCATCTAGATTATCCAACAAGTATACATAGTTCTGCTGTATTATTCTGTCATGCTCAACTGACATTCTTCCCCTTTCTTTGTTCATGATTTAATTATATATTTGTGTGACGTCTTTACTAAAGCCTAAAATGTAAAAAAAAGAAATTAAATTAATACCCTTGTTATGATATTTAAACCATTATACAAAATCGTTGATGAATGTTGTGTGAATGGAGGTGCTTGCAATCTTACCGTGTTCAATATATTCCCCGGCTCCTAAACTATTTTCTATGGAAGCCTATAACTACCATTCATAATTTCTACTTTTCGCCTCTTCAGAACACGAAAGTCGAAAAGTCGAAAAGTAGAAGTTACGACAAAATGTGAGGCGACAAGACGGTATACAAGCCAAAATCAACTCGAAAATAGGAAATTAAGAAATAACACACCGCGATAACAGCGCCCCCCGTTTTTTCTTAATTTCTACTTTTCGACTTGCATTTTGGCTTGTATACCGTCTTGTCGACTTTCGACTTAGTCATATTTTTGTATTTATTGATGTCAGTAAGAAGGCGCCAACACGCTATACAAGCCAAAATGTAACTCGAAAAGTAGAAATTAGGAAATTAACACACTGCGCTATTAGCGACCTATGATCTGTCGTACTGTCGACTTTTCTATTTTTCGCCTAGGAAGTGTTCTGAAGAGGCGAAAAGTAGAAATTATGAATGGTAGTTATAGGCTTCCATAATTTTCGGCCCTAATTCCCTATATTTGTAAGCCAAAAGTGACTGCTTACGGCTTCTATTGTAAAAAATGACCAACTTCTATGTATTTTTAAAGGGGGAAATCCCATATTTACTTCCTCAAAATGAGGTAAACATAAAGTCTAAGGGAGACTACTCCATTTTATTCGTTCGGATGAAATGTTTAGTGTGCTCGTAAATATTCTCTTGACAAGATTCAAAACTCTAAATTTGTTAATGTCGTGCTATCCGCAATGCAATTTCTAAATTAAAACAATAGAGGCTAATATAGGCTTATAATCTTACTTCTTATATCTACCTCCTTTCTTTGTTCTATTTTTATTATATTATTTCATGCTCAACACCTAGAACGCCCACAAGGACAGCTGTCTAGTCGTTCGGATGGGACGAAAATCGAGGTCCCGTGTACACATTGGCGTGTACGTAAAAGATCCCTTGGCAGTTGGAATTCGATATAAGAGTAGGCCGTAGCGCCGGTACCCGGGCAAAATTTCCCTCATAGTACACTGTATGGCGTATGCCCGTCTTCATTAGCCCAGGTTAGGAGCAGAACAGTAGGACGTTAAACCCCATTTCATTTCATTTCCTAGAACGCCCCTTTGTGTTAATTCAAGAACGCCCACTCGACACAAACTAGGTCATTTAATTCGCTTGCGCATAGATGGTTCCTTTAGGAACTGTCTTTGATCGGACGATGTCCGCTGACAGTTCCTATCGCTTTCTATATAGCTGCAATATGAAAATACTGCTCTTCCCCACCTCTGTTCTAAGGCTATTTTGAAATCCTTACCGACTATTTTTCACCGCGATTCTTCTTTGTTCACCAAAGGAATTATTTAAGTTTTGAGATTAAAAACATACACAGAATACTTTTGAACTTATCAGCCATTACGTGTTTCGAACACGCACAGACCGGGTGTTTATTTAATCGCTAAATTCTACTTGAAAATAGTGTTGAAGTATTATAAATGTGTATCAGCTGTGGCAAGAAATGATTCTTTGGCGAAAAATAAAGGATTACGATGAAAAATAGAAGGTAAGTTTTCCAAAATAGCCTGCGAAAAGAGGTGGGGAAGAGCGGTAATCGCATTTTCATATTGCAGCTATATAGGGACGGATAGGAATGTCAGCGGATATCATCCGGCCAGAGACAGTTCCCAAAGAACTAGCACGTAGGGTTTTTTAGCAGTGTGAGGAAACTCGAGGACCCGTGGAAAATCCACGGGGTTCGGCATGCGACCCTACGCCTTGTCACGTACAAGCGGGGATATGAAACCACGCCAAATTCCAGTAGATATAGTCCACAGGCATGGCTCATGGCCTGGACGACAACGCGTGACACACGTTACTAACTTCCGATTGTTACCCCATGTGTACATGTTTCACGTAAAGTAAATTTGTCATGGTCACCGCGGGTTGTTCTGAATTGATTACATTTTACGGAACAGTCTATTAAAACAATAAATGTAATGGAACAGTCTATTAAAACAGTAAATGATTACATTTTACGGAACAGTCTATTAAAACAAAAAATGATTACATTTTATTGAGCAGTTTATTCAAAACAACCAATGATTAAATATTATGGAGCAGTCTATTCAAAACAATGGCCATGCAGAACAATAACAAAAATATGAAAAAATGACAAATTCATACAATCAATATGATTTTTACTGAACGTATTGCAATGCAATTCGCGCGTGTGCCATTTTATAATAATAAATATAAGTTGGGGGTGGGGGGTAGAGTATACATTGAATTCATACGTCATCTATTTTAGAGAATTAATTCAATGATCACGCTATTTATAAAGATATAGAGGATATTTGTCGTTTTAGAGTGAATAACATATTTTATTTCATCGAGAAGCAAGAAAACTTATATTTTCACGAATGCGTAGCATGAGTGAAAATATAAACGTTTTCTTGCTTAGAGATGAAATAAAATATGTTATTCACGACAAAACGACAAATGTTCTATTTATTTTATGATTTTACAATCATTTTAGGTAAAAACAACTAGCCAGTGGAATAACACTTTTATTTCACTGATAAAACGTGGTATTCCACTACTGATCATAAAATAAAATGTATTATGTCGCCATCTTCCAAATAATGTTCTTTCAATGAATAAGTTTTATTTTCCATATATAGTGATATAGTTCCAACACCACTTCGTTCTATTTCGTCAATAACAACATCTCTTCTCTGTAACTCGGTATTTAACTTAGACTCCAGGGCCCTGTTTCACGAAATTTTAACTAAAGATAAAATCCAAATTTTAGTAGATATTTCAATTTTGATTGGCTAAGCACTAAAATCAATCTAATATTATCCAATCAAATTACTAAAATTTAGATTTTAACTTAGTTAAAATTTCGTGAAACAGACCCAAATTCTAATACTGTTACATCACTTACAACAGCTTCACTGTAAAATACAATTTTGAAAAGAATTGTTTATGCGACATTTGGTAACCGACTATGGTATGTCAGAGGGGCTTACAATATATCGTAACAACGATGAACAACCCTGGAAATTCTTGTCAAAAATCCTTGAACATCATTAGGGCTCTTTCTTTCGATGGGAAAAACAACCAAATCAATATAAATTTCAGAAATATATATGGTTTATTTCAACCGGACCGACCAGATGGGGTGACGACAATATACGACAACTGTAATGTGTTTCCAGGCACTTCTCTGTACAGCTATTACTTCCTTAAGGATGGGGAAGTAAGAGTTATTGTGAAGCTGGCCCAATGACTATAACACAGACACTAGCAAGGAACAGTCTCTAGTCGTTTGGATGGTGTGACAAAACCGAGACCCCGTGTACACCTTGACAGTTGGAAATCAATTATGTCCGGGCAAAACTTTCCTCATATGCACGGCATATGCCCGTCCTTTTTAGTCCGATTGCAAAAGAAAAATAGGACGTTAAATCCCATTCATTTCACTCATTTTTTCCTTACCTGTACAGAATGTGGCGAGCTTTTAACGTGATAACTTTTGCGTTCATGTTTACATTGTTATCCTGCAATTCCTTCAATTTTTTTACCAGATTCTCTTGTGCTTTTCCACAACTTTAACGAAGTGTTCTGCTTTTAACGATAATTTGAAATAAGACAAAGCCGTAGCGCCGCTGTCCGGACAAAATTTCCCTCATAGCACACTGTATGACATATGTCCGTCTTAACCCTTATTTCATTTCATTTCTAAATGGCGGGAGACAACAGGTCTTGGCGAAGCGAGGGGGCTGGTTGGCAAGGAACAACACGTCTATTTGTTCGGATAAGATACAACCCAAATGTTCCGTGTACACGTTGGCGTGTTCGTAAAAGATCCCTTAATAGCCCGGGAGCTAGGTAGGTTTTCTTCAACATGGAAGGTGCGGAAGGTTTGGCATGCTAGTGGTGTATGGCTGGGTTAGGAGACCCCAGAAACCCAATTCTTAAGTTGCGCCAGTGGTGGGTGTGGTAGGAGGAGCCACCCATGGTACCCCCTAAAATGGGTTTATTCAACATGGAAGGTGCAAGTTCCACTTCAATGGCATTTGATAGAGGAATGTGCCCTGAATTCGGAAATATAACTTAAGAATAGGATTTTTGGTGGAAAGGCCACTTAAGAAGAGGTCAAAGGTCACTAATTAGCAATTTTTCGATTTTACTGAAAACGATTTTTCCTTTATCTCGTGATCTATTCCAAGTATATTGCACAAAACTACATGGACATTTTTTATACTGGTAGGAGCAAAAATATGAGACATAAAATTAATGAAGTTTTAGCTAAAAGTATGACATAATCTCAAAAATAACGAAAATATCACTCAACCCCCATCGGTAATTAAAATGTTAATCAACAGGAAAGGTGCGAGTGAGAAACCAAGCCTAAATTGTACGGAATGATATCAGAAATCATTATCATCAACTTAAGAATCAAATTTCTTGTGGTCAGCGTACTTAAGAAGAGAATAATGCTGGTTTGCACCGAATGACCCCTAATTAGAAATTTAATTATCATGAAAGGTGCGACATTGGAACAAGGTGTAAAATGTAGGGACTGATCATAGAATTCACAACCACTAACTTAAGAATGAATATTGAGGTGGTAAATGAACTTTAGCAGATGTGACCAATAACCTTAAAAAATCAGTGTCAAGCAGTGCAATATGCCCACAATGCTAAGTTTCCACTTGATCTCTGATAGTAACACTGGTACATTAATTACCGCACACTTCCTTCATACTAAGAGTCATTTAAAACATAGATCTATGTCATGTTATTGCAGATATCAACCAAGACCTAATCAACCAGAACCTAACTTAGGAAAGGCAACTGTCTTCATCAGAGGAAGCAGTGTTAATGTCATCATCAGAGGTATCCTGAACAGATTGCTCAATGTCCTCTTCAACAAATGACTCCCGGAGTTCAGGACCATTAACACGCATGATTTCATTCTGTCCATCTCTCAACTATCTTTTGGCGATGGGTGCTGGGTAATACCTGATTTATCAGCGCTTCCCGATATCTTTGAGACAAAAGATGCCCCTTTTGATTTGTAGTGACACTTGTGACACTTCCGAATCGCTATCATCGATGCCCTTTAGTTTCTCCAGAAGATTTTTACATCTTGCCTTTGGCCCATTGCTTCTTCTCAAACACGATGTAGCGATATCATTCACCGTACATATGTATGGGGCTAAGCGACAAGAAATCTCCTCACTCAACAGGCATCGCTACACCGTGTTTATGAAGACGTAATGGGTCTAAGGCAAGATGTAAAAATCTTCTGGAGAAACTGAAAAGGGCATCAATAGTAGTATGATTCCTCTCTGCGAATCAAAAGTGTCACTACAGATGACAAGGGCATTTTTGGTCGCAA